CCTGCTGACACCCAGCCATATGCGACAGCCTGTGAGTGACGGTCACCAAATTGCCACAGCTCCTGTCCTTGCTTGCCTGTCGTGGGGATCAGTTCAGTGTGTTCAGCTCTGGGAAGGGATGATTTACACTTGCATCTAGTGTTCAGGCTTGAAAAAAGATGGATAACTTGAAACAAGCCCTGAGCCCCAGACCTCAGCTGTGGTCCTGGGTTGGGATGTTTAGCCTCAGATGTGTGTATGATGTTTAACTTCTTTGGTGGGGTTAATTACAGTGGAGGAAGAAGGGTTGATTAAAAGTAATTTTTCTTTACGATGCAATATGCGGTCAGTGCCACTTGCCACCCACCAGAATTTGCTTTTAGATGCTTAACCAATACTTAACAAGAGTTTGCAACCTATAGCAACCACCTCCAGGCTAGGCAAAGTACTTAAATACAAGGCAGTGAGGTCTGATGTGCTCAGCCAACGGTGTCTTGTCTCCTGATGCTGAACTGTGTGTTTTGCATAGAGGAAGTCATGCTGGCTGAAGAGAACAAAAACGCTGGGACCTCAGCCTTAGACGGTAAGACAAGCAACGCCCTGCCTAAGAGTCTGCTTCCCATTGCTTGTGCCTGCCTACAGCTGGAGGTTGAAACCTTCTAGCCATGATGGGAGGTGGGAGGTCTGGGGATGCCCCAGTGGGCTCTGCAGCCCAAGAGATGAATGTGGGGAGGTGGAATGACAGCATAACCTGTGAGGGAACGTGGAGGCCAGGAGGTGTCTGGTTCCACACAAGAGATAGGTCTGGACTGGGTTCAGCTGGGCATCTCCATCCTGTTACCAGACCCGAGTTAGCCATGTACTGATCACCAGGTCCTGGTCCAATGACCTGGCTACTGGCAGAGTTGGGCCACCAATGCCCCTTCCTCTTTGCTTCCCAGTGCTCAGGCGAGCCACCATCAAAAGGAACCGGACGGACGCCATGAACCGTGATTCGAGCGACGAGCACTGCGTTGATATCTCCTCCGTGGGCGAGCGGAGGCTGGCACAGAGAAGACCTCTTCATCCAACCTTGGGTCAGTGCAGTTTGGAGCTTGCTTCCCCCAAACCTCTGCCATCTTATTGAGTTGCAAGGGTCACACCCGTCATGTGGAGATTGTCACAGATCAGCCATCTCTGATAGTTTGACAGCAAAGGGAGCAAACCACCTGTTGTCCCCTGTACCATTTAAAAACTGAGTGGTTAAGTCATGTCCCGTAAGAGCAATGTCTGTGAGCCATCTATCCTGTCTCATGTCGTGGGAAAGGTTGGAACGCCCAGCTCCTTTTCTCATCTTGACTGGAGCACCCAACTCCTTCTCCTCCCTCTTTTCCCTTAGGTAACCCCTTGAGTCACTCTGGTCTCAAAGGTGCCAGAGTGGACGGTGCCTCCTACTTACGGCACAAGGAGCGACTCCTGCGCATCTCCGTTCGCCACATGGTGAAATCCCAGGTCTTCTACTGGATCGTCTTGAGCCTGGTGGCTCTCAACACTGCCTGCGTAGCCATCGTCCATCATAACCAGCCAGCCTGGCTCACCCACTTCCTCTGTGAGTCCCTGGGCTTTGTGTAGGTGTGAGAGCACTGCATGGGCAGGCAAAACCTCCTGCAACCTTCTTATGTCCAGTGGCCAGAGATTGCAGCACGTCCTCACTCCTTGCCCAAGGTCACGTGGGGATGAATCCCACCAGAGTCATGCTGCTATGGAGCTGGGTAGGAAATAACCTCGATTACATTCACTGTTGATAAAAAAAGGACCCTGTAGAGCCATGAAGTTCAGCTTTGCCATTGGCCTCGTGGCCACTGATGTCTGTCTCAGCCCTGTGGGCAACTGTGGAGGAGTTTTACCGGCCTTGTGCCCTTTGAGTTCCATGTGTTTGCCAAGAGAGAGAAGCAGGCTGCAGGTCTCAGTTGGGTTTATCCTAAAATTGTGAAGAGTGGTAATGGAAAGCTTGCTGGAGATCCATCTTTGAATGCCCACAAGCAATTGCTGGAAAGGCGTCAGTTTGCAGGGATGGGACTGTTTGTGGGAGAACCCCCTGGTTAAAGTTTTGGTGCAGAGCATGGCAAGGAGATTCCAAGCTTGAAACCAGTTACCGGAGCATCCCCCAGCCCACCGTGGGCCTTAGTACAAGGTCAGGTCTTGGAGGCAGTACACCCATGTCTATGCTATCATGGCATGGTGCTGACTGCAGAGCGGCATGGTCAGCCCCCCAGCAGCCATGTGTTTCTCCTGAGCTGCTGCAGTAGCGACTGTTTCTTTCTCAGCCGTGTTCTTCTTAGTCACCTTGAAAATGTCCCCGTCAAGCACCGGGCCTGCCCAAATCTGCATTAGCACTCTCAGGCCTGCTGGGATTCCAGCATGCCACAGTGTGGTAAGGCAGCTGGTCGTGGTGAGAAGCATCTTTTGGACAAGGTGAAAAGCCAGACTCTTGCCTGCTAATGTTCATGAAATAGCTGGAGAACGTTTTCTCTGGCTCCTGGCTGTTGGGCTCGGTTACCCTGGCCAAATTCCAGCTGTGCAGTCATTTAAATCCAGGTTGTTAACAGTCTCCTACCGTGTCGTGTGGTTAACGTCTTTGCAGATGTCCCAACCACCATCACATAATTCTAAAGAGCTGCTCTGATACATGCCAGCCATCTCTGTTCTTCTCAAACCCTTGGGACACCAGTGCACCTGCCCTGAAAGATTAACTTGTGGGGTTGGGGCTCTGTTGTATGCAACCGAGGTCCTTGCAGACAAGCTTCTCTCATCCCATACCGTGGCCTGAGAGAGCTGGGGGAAGCAGTGTGGTCCTCAACTTGTCCACATCTCTGCAATGTGCTGTCTGGGCCATGGGTGGATGCATGCAGGATGCTCCTCACAGCTTGGTGCCTCAAGCGTAGCACATCTGGGTTTTCTCTTTCAGACTATGCAGAGTTCCTATTTCTTGGACTCTTCCTCCTGGAGATGTCCTTAAAGATGTATGGGATGGGGCCGCGCCTTTACTTCCATTCTTCCTTCAACTGCTTCGACTGCGGGGTAAGCAGCCCCAGAGATGCTGTGCCTGTGGGGGGAGATGTTTGGCAGGTGCCTGCAGCACAAGGCACCAAGGGGGAAAAGAAACCAGATCGCCCTCACTGTGGGCAGGGGAACCCTTTCTGCTGGGACAGCCTGCCCATGCCAGATCGAGACACTGGGTCTTGGGCAGGGTGGTGGGTGCCTCTTCTTCTGGTGTGTGAAGAGTTCCTGCAACAGCCCGTACTGAGCCTGTCTTTGACTCACAGCTGTGTCTGCTTCTCAGGTCACAGTGGGAAGCATCTTTGAAGTGGTTTGGGCTATCTTCAGACCAGGAACCTCTTTTGGGATCAGTGTCCTACGAGCCCTTCGTCTCCTGCGAATATTTAAAATAACGAAGTACGTACCAACTGTCCATTCCTGTCACCCTTCATCTCGGGCTGTGGCTGCAGCCCAGGTCACATTGCTCCTGCTATCCTGTTAGCATGGCTGCGAGTGTTCCAGGACTGTCTCTGTTTTCTAGGTACTGGGCATCCCTGAGGAATTTGGTGGTCTCGCTGATGAGCTCCATGAAGTCTATTATTAGCCTGCTCTTCCTCCTCTTCCTGTTCATTGTAGTCTTTGCCCTGCTGGGAATGCAGCTGTTTGGAGGCAGGTAGGTTGTTTCAAGTCTGGGGAAAAGGAATTTCTTGGCACTAAAGCCCGCTTAGATGCCTAGGAAGACTGCAGCCTTGCCCCTCAGCCTGCTGCTAATGGTGGTACCTCTCTCATACAAAAGTCCTTGCTCAGGCAGGTGCCTCTGGGCTATGTGGGTCCTGGTGGCCACAAGATCTTTTGAGTTCTGGCACCAAATGCTCAGGAGACCTTCCTGAGAGTGGGGAAATGTCCTCCTAAGCACAAGAGAGCTGATGGCACTGCAGTCCGGGGTTTGATGATGTTGGTACTCCCGCCCATTTATGTCCTTCCGGTTTCACTTCCAGGTTTAACTTCATTGATGGGACACCATCGGCCAACTTCGACACTTTCCCCGCAGCCATCATGACAGTGTTCCAGGTAGGAGCCAAGCTGCAGTGGGATGCAACCAAAGGGACTTGGGACTCTCTGCTCACTCCCTGCTGGCTGGAAGGGGCTCTTTAAAACAAACAAATTCCCCTCCATCAGCTGTTAGGATATAACTTGCTTCCTCCCTCTCCTGCGTAACAAAGAGGATGGCAAGAGATGGAAACTCTTCCACCTCCGTTATGTAAGTTGGTAGAGTTTCAAAACTCTTCTGAGGAGACCCAAGTCCTCATCAGTGTCCAACCTCATGTCCCCCAAGTGCTGCAGCTGTAGAGCTGGGTTATCCAACGCACAGGGTCTCTGTACTGGGCTCCTGCATATTGGTGGAGTAGATCTGAGGGGGCTGTCCAGGTGACAATAAGGTGAGGTGAGGTGACAGAGCTGCTGGCTTGCTTTCCTGCAGATCCTGACAGGTGAGGACTGGAACGAGGTGATGTACAACGGCATCCGCTCCCAGGGAGGTGTTCGCTCGGGCATGTGGTCCTCCATCTATTTCATCGTCCTCACCTTGTTTGGAAACTGTATCCACCTGGCTGCTGCGCTTTTAGTGGAGACAACCCCATCTCCCTCTCTGGGGGCACCCCTCTCCCCACCCACTGCTCCTGCCTCCTTTCCCAGTTGAGGGAGCCCCATCACACGTGTGGGAGCCCTGGATATCCCACACGCAGAGAAGGAGCTGTCTGGAGGTACACTGAGGGCTGTATACATGGGAAGGGTGAGGAGTTTGTCCCTTTGGCTGCTCCTTATTGAGCTGGTGCGGAGCTGTCGGGATGACCCTCCCTTGGTGGCTGCAGACACCCATGTCCTTAACACGTGCCTTGTGCATCCTTAGCAGCTCACAGATACTCTGCTGAACGTGTTCTTGGCCATTGCAGTGGACAACCTGGCCAACGCTCAGGAGCTCACCAAAGTAGGTTCTAGTTGCTCCTTTTTCTTCTCTTGCTGGGGTGAAGTGAGTGAAGGAGGGGGCCAACAGAAAAGGCGCCAGGAGCAGTGCCCGTGACTGTCCACACTCCAGAGCTGGGGCCACCTCGTCCTTTAGCTCAGCCTGCTTTGGAAAGAGGTCAGGTCAAGCTGGAAGTGGAGGCTTTTCCTCCAGGAGGGTACTCTGAGTGCTTCCCTGAAACACAAATCCTTTTCACTGGGCAAAGCCTTTTAGACTTTGATTTAGGAAAGTGCTTAAACCTGCTAATCTCTCCAGGAACACCCACACTTCCCATCAAGCGTGGCTTAACCCTTTCTCCATTTAAGCTCCCCAGGTTCATTTGTCTATGGTCAGATTGAGATAACTCTCATAAGTCTGATGTGGGGGTGGTTATTTGCCCGAGCACTCCAGAGACGTGGAGAGGGAAGCATTTTCCAGTGGTGTCAGTACTTATTTTCCCCATCTGCCCGCAGGGCAGTGGACGTGATTTAGGATGCAATTTAGGATGGTGCTTGAGAAGGTTATTGGGCTTAGCTGTTTTTAAGACCATGCTGGGAAATATTTGGGGAATGCTAAAATGTCGGGGCACCATCTGGATAACGGTGAGTAGGCGAGAGCTGCAAGGGTCGTTGCTGCTCTTTAGAGGGGACCAGCGATCCCGTGGTGCCCATTCTTTCGCAGAGCCCATTCCTGTTGCTCAGATCCTTGGGGTTTACTGAGAGGCTTCCACGCTGGTGTAAATCTGACCTGTTAGCGGCAAATGAAATGGGGCACGGTGCTCATTTGCCTGAGGGATGCGTGCGGGGGTCCCTGTCCTCCCGCGGCGGGTGCAGGTGGCATTTCCAGGGGCTGCCGGCTGCTGCTGGGGTGAGAGGGCTGGGAGAGCCCTGTGTTGTACCAGCAGCGTCAATTAAGGGAGCGCTGAGTTTTTGAAAAGCCTGAATGCATGCTAATGACTCCTAATGACATTTTTTACTCCAGAGACACAACTGTGCTCATTAAAGCAATAGAGTCTCTGCCGGGGTCATTCATGGATGCCTTGCCTCCCACTCCATCAAGGGGATGCCTGTCTCGCCCCTGTGGCTGTGAAGAAGGGAAGGCTGAGCTGGTCTACGCCGTCTGGGGCTGTTCTAGCGTGCACAGCCCGGCTCTTGCCTGGAGTGGGCTGGGTTCACTTATTTAAGTAGCGCTGACGCCTTCAGTAAGATCTGGCTTAGTGGGGAAGTTGCATCCCCACCGTAAGATAAAGGCTGTCTCTGGAAATACAGGTGCCGGCTTCCCTTTTCTCCCGCACGCCTTGGCGTCTAAGGTGGCCCCGCGCATCCCTCCCTGCCTCCGATGGCTGCACCTTCCCTTGAAACCCTGGCATCCCACTGAGCAACTCCCCTCTTTCCTCCACAGGACGAGCAAGAGGAAGAGGAGGCCTTTAACCAGAAGCACGCCCTTCAGAAAGCCAAAGAAGTCAGCCCCATGTCCGCCCCAAACATGCCAGCTATTGAGTGAGTGACCCCCCTAACCGCTACCCCGGTGCCCCCCGAGCCCAGCTGATATTCTCGGCAGGGTGGAGAGCTGCAGCAGAGCCTGACACGGCTGATGCGAGAAAAAGGGGTCCCCACGCGGGGTGACTCCCTCTCCGTGTGTCTGCCTAAGGATGGATGGAGATCCAGGAGCGTGCTCCCGGCAAGCAGCAGTGCCTCTGGAGAGGTGTCGGAGCGGGGACCAGGTCACCTTGCAGGACCTGGGCTTGCCCACCCCATCCCCAAGCAGCAGCCTCAGTGCTTGGGCATGGCAGAAATACACTAAAAGACACTTTCTGCCCCAAATGTACAGCTCAAACACACAGGACTGCTGCTAGGGGTGAGGAGGGAGGCTGGGGAGGAGGAAGGTATGTTGGGTTTTTCTTGAGGAGGGATGATATTTGTTCCCTGGGCGGAGCTGTGGGATTGCAGCCAGGGCTGGGGGAGAAGGGAGCAGCGGTATCTAAAATCTCCCGCGGGCTCCTTCCCTGGTAGCGAATGCAGTTATGAGAGATGGAGCAGGTTGGAAAAACCTCGTTTGATTGTACTGAAATTTGATTTGGGCAAGAAAAATACCCCCCAAACTACATAAACCCCCAGCATGGTGTTAAGAAGCCTTGTGTCTGCATTTCAGCAGAAGAAAATTCTGTTTTTTCCTTTCTAGACGCCTTTTTTCCCTTTATTTTGTAGCGTCATATGGTCTAAATCACATAAAACTTTCGAAGTCAACATTGGAACGAGGCGTTTTGATTTGTTTCCCAAAACAGTACATTTCAGTATGGCTGAAAGGAATTTTTTTTTTATTTCTTTTTTTATAGCATGTCTTCCCAGGGAATTTTAGGTTTCGTTATGCTTTGAAAGCCAGCCAAGCTCGTACACGGCAGAATCTCTTGCAGATTTGCCGAGAGAAACCGCTGTCCTCGGGCGAGTTCCCATCTGGGGGGCCAGAGGCAGCATTGGGCACAGCCCCCTCTCTGTCCTGGCAGCGGTGGGATGCGATGGTCCCCAATCCCGTGTGCGTCACCCATGCTTTTAGGGGCAGCAGGAGCTGGGGGTACTTGTAAGCCCTGCCTGGTCTCCCAGCAGTCGCAGACATCGCCTTGGTGTGGGGGTGATGGGAGATTCGTAATAAATCTGTGCCTGGCTAGGTATTGGGCGGGGTTACGGGAGAGTTGATAGAGTCTGTGTGTCGTGATCGGCTCTGGCTACCAGTGGGAACGTGTCGGATAAAGCGAGGAAGTAGACGGATTTAGGCTGCAGAAGAGGCTGGAGAATGGACAGACAGCAGAGAGGAAGAGGGGGAGATGGACTATGTTAGGGCACTGAAGGATTTGCCCATGCTGCAAGTCCCTGATCGAGTTTTCTAGCTGTTGTCAGATAGCGCTGGTCAGGAAAACAGATCTCTTGAACCTTTTGTTATTGTTCTAGTGGCATGGAAATCAGAGTTATTGATATTCGCAGATCTTTTTTCTAGCTCCTCCCTCTCGTCAGGGTGGGTAGTGTCAGGGGCAGGGACAGGAGTGTGATGTTGTGGGGGCAGCTACCTCCAGCTTCAGCTCTGATGGGCTTTTAGTGGTGCTACACCAATGTCAGCAGCCGAGGAGGACCCGTGGGGCCACCACAGCAAGGGACAAGCCAGGGCAGAGCCGGTACCGAAAGGCTGAGCTGGAAACTCAGAGCGGTGAAGCCGAGCCGGTCTCTGCGTTTGGGTGTGCGCAGACACAGATGGCTTCATTTCTATGTGGGTACCCCGCGCGGGCAGGTTCGGTACATGCGTTCCTGCCTGCGGAGAGGTCCGGTGGTGCTTGGGGATGAGAGCTCCCACGTGGCCAGGCTGGTGTGGGCGGCTGCGGTGCCGATCGGAGTATTGTATTGGTACACGGGCGCCGTTGGTGCAGATGGCTCGGGGCTGGTTGGCGAGTGGGTGGCCAGATGGACGCATGCGGATGCTGTCATGTGTTGGTGCCTAACGCGGTGCGGAGATGCGTTTGAAAGGCTCGGCCACTAGCTGCGGGGACGGCGGCAGATCCCCACTCGCAGGTCCTGCCTGCGTGGCTCGGCTGTTCCCCCTGCGTGTGGCTGTCAGGGGGCTGTGAGGAGGCAATCGCCAGTGTGACTCACCCGGGGGCTGAGGGTATCATCGCACTCGCGGGCTGGCAGCGAGACATGTCCCGTGAGCTCTGCCTGCACGCGGGCGGTTGGAGTGCCTTTGCTTGCACGTCCTGCACGCGTGCGTGTGCACGGCATTTGCAAAAGCAAAACCTGTAAATCACCGCACCCACGTCTGCGTGCACCCGTGGCTCTTCACTTGCAGCTGTGTGGATCCAAATCTTTTCCGTGCTGGTACCAAGGATGAAGCATTGAACCTCCCCAGCTGCCTGAAGTCGGCGGGCGCTGACAGCCCTGCTAAGCTTCTCTGCGTTGGGGCTGCTTAGCTGGAAGGGGGTCTGCGGTGTCTCAGCCCCGGGCTTGTGCCTTGCTGTTGCTTCGCGTTCCCCTCTGCTGTCTCAGGGCAGCATCAACCCATGGTGATGGCTCCGAGCAGCTCGGGGCTGGCCTGATGCATCGCTTCCTCTGTCGAATTGCCACGTGTTGCTTGGGAGAAGTGACTTTGGAGCAGTTTGAAAGAGCTGTTAAATATCCAGGGATGTGCTGGGGCTTCTGAGGGGCCGTAGCCTTCACCGGTCTCCTCGTGCCGCTGCTGCACGGCTGGCCAGCGCGGGGAGTTCTCCACGGCCCCCACGAAACGGATCTGCATCCCCAGCACGAGCATCGCTGTGTGCATCTCCACGGAGGGCAGCGACGTGTGCCACGGTGGGGTGCGGGAACGCGGGTGCAGAGCGTGGGTGTGAGCACGGGCAGCTCACTGCTGGTGTGTAAGCACATGTGTATGGGGGGTTCGCTGCTGGCTGCTGCGCTCCGGCATCCCAGCAGCCATCGGCCAACAGGTTGCCCAGGGTGGGGGGACAGCTCTCTGCGTTGCCCAAATGAGTCGAAGGAGGGGTGAAGGTGGGCTTGAACCCGTTTGTTTTTCCTCCCCAGAAGAGACAGGCGAAGGAGACACCACATGTCGATGTGGGAGCCACGCAGCAGCCACCTGTATGTGGGCCGTGCGGGCGCGTGTCTGTGGCTCCTGTGCTTTCTGTGCGTCCGTGGGGCCAGGCTGCACGCCCCCCTCCGGGTCGTGTGCGCCTGCCTGTGTTCGGCGTGCTCCTTTGGACCCCCGTCGTGTGGGCGTGCGCTCGCGGATTTCTGTGTGCCCTCGTGGTTCTGTGCGTGCCCGACCTCCCCGTCTGTGTCGGTGCGTGCCGCTCGCTGCCGGCGTGCAGCCGTCTGTGCTCTGGGGGTGAGTGGTCTCTGTACACGTGTGTGCTCGTGGGTGTTTCCGTGTGCCTCGATGTGTTGGAAAGAGCACGTCTGTCTTCTCCACGGTGTCTGTGTGCACGTTTACGGCACAGCAAAGGTTTTGTAGAGTTGCCCAGCTGTCCCTAGAGGTCACCTGCAAGAAGGTAGAGAAGCCCAGCGCAGCTCCTTCCCCAATAACAGCGGAAACCGCTGCTCCCCAAGCTTTGGAGCAGGCTTCCCACCCAGGACGTGCCAGGCAAGGTGCTGTCCTGGCCGAGTGTAGCTGAGGGGGCCTCCTGTGCCCGGTGACATTCTCCGTTGCAAATGTCTCCAAGGGCCATCTCTCTCTGAGGAAGGCAGGTCTTGTACCTGGCATCTTTTCCCCTCCTACTTGTTGTCCTCATCCCACCAGGACGGCCACCCTTGCTGGCACGCTGGCTCTCGCGCCACGGTCCCCTGCACCTTGATTTGGACTGCTAGGGCAGTGCTGCTCTGAAAAGGAGCCCGGCTCTGAGGAGCTGGCAGAGCAAAGGCGTCCCCGGCTGCAGTGAGGGGACATTGCCCGTATTTAGAAAGGTGTCCCCAGGCAAGAGGAAGGCGGTCACTGCCTGGGTTGCTGGGGTGCTGGCTGCTCCCAGCAAGCTGGGCATGCTGCCTGAAAGCTTCAGGGCAGCTGTGAGGCTGCTGGGGCTGGTCCTCCATCAGCCTGGCGTCTCTGAAGGGACAGAAGCACAATTTCAGCCCCATTTCCAGCCCCTACCAGCCCCAGAGGATGCTGGAGAGCTCGGGACAATGCAGGAGCCTAACCCATAACCCTGGGACAACGTTTCCTTCTCCCTGGGACTCCCACATGAAATCCAGGGTGGACATGTCACCGGGTGGCTGAAGCACCATCAGCAGGGCGGGTGTCCTGGGCACCAACACTTTGCTGTCCCCTGTTGCAGGCGGGAGCGTCGCCGGCGTCACCACATGTCGGTGTGGGAGCAGCGCACCAGCCAGCTGCGCCGGCACATGCAGATGTCCAGCCAGGAGGGCATCAACAAGGCCGAACCGCCCCTCGTCAACCCCCATGCCAGCATCTTCCGCAGGAAGAAACCAGGGGATGGCGTCACCCTGGAGAAATGCGCTGAGGAGCAGGGTGGCAAGGGCGAGCGGCCGCCGGCCGAGGAACCCGAGCAGCCAGCCCCGGGGGCGACACCC